GCTAAATTTTGAAAATAGCCCAAATGCCCATCAATCAATGGATGCATAAAAATAATGTGGATTTTTATCAATAGAGTGCTACTTTGCCATAAAGAAGGATAAATGAGATATTTCTAGGTAAGCAGAAGCAACTTGCAATCATTTTCTTTTTTTTCTTTTCCTCTGTCTGTCTTTCTCTCTCTCTCTCCTTTCTTGAGACAGTATCTCACTATGCAGTTCAGGCTGGCCTCGAGCCCAGCAAGTCCATACACTTACGTGAAATAAATCGAATACACATGTTCAAATTTTGCATTCTTTGGTGTTAGAAATTGAAACTATAAGGATGAAAATGTACAATAGATATTGTGAAATAGGAAGAAAATGTTCAAACGGGAAGAGGAGCAAAGAGAGGACCTGGAGAAAAGCAGGAAGGGAGAAGAAAAAGACTCGAAGGAAAACTAGAAACAAAGCTTTCCTAAACAAGGAGGGGTAGCAGGGTTGAAAGGAAGGGAGGGAGCATGGGGACAGAAGAAGAATCAAGATGCATCGTGTACAGTTACAAATCCCCTGTGATGTGATCATTATGTGTACCTAAAGCACACCAATAAAATGAATTTCAAAGTTTTCAGACAAATGGGAAACAAAACAGAACAGAACCAGCGTTCATGCCATACCCTTAAGGTACGAAAGTGTTTCTGAAATTATCACTATAAACATTATCAGAAATACGCTGCACTTCTAAATATTGTATTACTTCGGATAATACCTATGGTATTAGTAGCGCCCATTTAAATGAACTAAGACATGGTATTAAGAGCCCTCTAGTGGTGAAATTCTTAATAGGCCTCTAAAAAGGAAAAACAGCTTGTGTAGATTACATTTTTAAAATAACAAAGTATTAAATATTTGGTTTGTGATTATTTTATATACAAAACTAGGTCAGGTATCTTGAGTTACAAATTACTTCATTCTTTTACCATATTTTCCTTGTAGTCTCCAAAGTCACTAGAAAGATGAGAAATGAAAGCTCTATAAATTTTAAAATTACGAAAGCAAACAAAAAAGTTTAAAAGTAGAGGAAATTCTTCCAACAAAATCAAACATATAGTTTGTCTACTAATCTTACAGGTAATTCCTAACTTACACATACAAAAGTTAAATTTCATGAGTATTTACGCCAGCTTTAAAAAAGTTACATTTTGCCCCATATGAAAATAGTGTTATCCATTGTATTGTCTTCCTAGTGCAAGAAGCTGAAAGATGAAATAAGATCAATATCTACAATAGATATTGTGAAATGGAATGAAACTGCTTAAAAGAAAAGAGAAAGTGGGATGGGGAAAGGAGAAAGAAATGGAAAAAATATATATACACATGCACAAGACAGTTTAGATAGTAACTAATTTCTATTAGTTCATCGAAAAGAAAGGACTGTGCCTATATTGCTTGATTAATATTTCATGCCTATATCTTGTCATATCACAACTGCTTTAAAGATAATACAGGATGTATTAACCATTGTTACTCTCCTATCTTGTTCTGCAATTTTGTATCATTTTTTTCCCTCTTATGACTGGGTTAGGTTTACGACTGTTCCTGACTGCTTGCAATGGTAAAGGAATGCAAACCCAGCAATAAATACGGCTGCAGACACTGAGCTCCAACTGCAATCTGAGCAGTGCATCTCCCTTGAGGCTGCTGGGGTGGGAGAGAATCTGCCTGTCACCAAGTCCAGCGCCAGAATGGGACAGAGGAGGGAGGTGCCTAGGAGGCCCTAGAGATTCCTATGGGAATCACATAGCACACCCCGCTCTAGTGGAAAGTGTCTTAATTACAGTATCTTTAATCACAGGACAATTTTGATGAGCATAGCAATGGTTGAATTCTCTGACATGTGGCGGGCTTTAGTATTTAGTAGGTAGCTTACAACAAATCAAACTCAGAAACCAGAGTTAACCATTCATTTGCTCATTTATTCTTTCATTAGATAAACAATCGCTGAATTCTGTCATAGAATATGCCCTTGGTAGATGCTATAAGTATTCGAATTCACAGCAGGGCGTGTGCCAAAAGCCTGTGAGTGTATCTGGAAGGCTGAGGCAGGAAGATGGTCGGAGCCCAGCAGGTGCAATTTAGCAACACAGAGAGACCCTACCTCAAATTTAAAAATACAGTGTTGGGATGTAGCTCAGTGCAGAGGCTGAAGGTTCAGTCCACAGTGCTGCAAGAGAAAAGAAATTCATACCCACAAAATCCTAGGCTAGTGTTTAACGAAAGAATTCTGATGCCATTAATCAGAATGTTAAGATCGGAGTGGAGGGTTCTGTCTATCAGGGAGAACAGGGCGAACTTTGTGGTTGTGAAATTTAAAGCAAGTCTGGAAAGACCAGCAGAAGTCAGGGCAATGGGATTTCAGAGACAGGAGAGCACAGCAGCAGAGGTTCAGCCTAAACCTTCCCCTTTTTACAGCGAAACAGGAAACTTGCTGTTTCATTTCCTGTAAGGAAGATGCATGCTCAGTGCTTATTTACTGAAAAGTCAAATGATACAGAAGCGCAGAGAATAAAATCACCTCCATTCAATTTACCCATGGCCTCTCCCCTGAGAGGTGAGCTAGGACGTGGCAAAGCTGGCTGCGGAACCGGAGGTGATTTGTTAACCACAAAATACCAGGACGCATGCGCAGAGCACATCCCAGATTCCTGCGCACTGAATTCTAACAGGTTTTGGATACCACAGCCAAGACCTGACATCAGCCTGACAAGTGGATGGTTTGGGGAGGACAGGCCACGTGGGGCGTTTGCAACTGTGTTCTCCTGCATGGTGGCCCACGCTGTAGGGTGTGTTTCTTTTCATAATTTTACTTGGTCCAAACTCACTCTGCACAGCCTGTTTCTTTTCTTACCTTCTAAAAATGCTGCTACCATTTGCAATCATCTTGACCAATTCTTTGCTCAGAATACAAAGAACCTAGAAACTACCTCTAGCAGGAGACTCCATCACCCCAGGGCCTAGCAACACCCCCACAATTCAAGACCACCACTGTTTGAAGAGGTTTTAGGCTTTTTTCCCCCCTTAACAAATATTTTTCCCTTCACAAAAACAAAAATCTTACTGTAAATGTTTGTAACTTTAAAATATCTTAATACATCCTAGGCAGACAGCTTTCTATAAAACTATATAAAGCCCACATCATTTTGAACTAGTATTTGGATATTTTGTACTTGCGCGGTGGACTGTATCACTGTGCATCCTGGCTTTGTGTGTGTGACTTGGAATTGACCAGGATCTTTGTTGTACCTCCAGCTATATTATTTTGAAATAAGGTCTCCCGAAGTGGCTAAATTGGCCAGGCCTTGAACTTCTCCTGCCTCAGGCTATCACAAATCATAGGTACATTTGCATAATGACAAATAAGGTCTGTAATTACACTAAGAACAGTGTGTGAAAACATCTGCTTTCTTCAAGCTCAGTGAGTACTGATCAAGTACTCTAAATTCATCACTTACTTAATGAACTATATTTTCACATTTTTATCAGCTAGTTGTAAGTGCTCATGTCCTTTGCTGGATTTCGAATCAGGAAATGATCATTTGCTTTGTACAAATTTTTATTTTGGGATTTAATACTCGTATATGTTGAATTTTTTTTTCGTAGTTTACTGTCTTTCAGGTTTGTTTATAGTGAGATTTATAGCCAGGTGTGGTGGCACACAGCTGTAATCCCAGCAGTCAGGAGGCTGAGGCAGGAGGATCCTTGTGAGTTTAAGACCAGCTGGGGCTACAAAGTGAGCTCAAGGCCAGCCTAAACTGCATAGTGAGACCCTGTTTCAAAAATAAAATAAAATAAAATAAAGTAAAATATGTAGTGAGGTTTATTTAGTAATATAAATGTTGGAATCCCATTTAATCTTTTTTATTCATAGTTTTGGATGAAGCACTGAGAAGCAAGTCCTGAAGAGGAATGGAAATTGGGATTAGCACTGGTATTAGGATTGAAATTAGCACTAGAATTGGATCAAAGCTGGAATTATATCAGCCAGTGCTGGAATCAGAAGTACTGCTCATCAAAATTGTTTTGATTACACCTTTTTGGACCGAACATTTATAGCATTTTTGTCAAATAAAAGTCTTCCAATAAATTTTCTTTCATGGTCTTTTCATGGCTACCTTGATGTGCTAAACCTATTCAAAAGGTTAATGGCAGCCTCTGTTAAATAAAAACATTGTAGTGTGTCTGTAACCACCGTATTAACTGGACCTGGCTCTGGTTGGTTCCCCAAGTCAAACTGACCAGGGAAGGTAAACACTGTCATCAGCTAGGGCAGGAGGCTCAGATATTCTAAGGATGACAAGTTTTTACAGGAATACAATGTTTGAAGAAAACAAGCTTTTGCTTTTTAAAATTCTTTTACTTTCTCAGCATTTGGTCTTGTAAGACTAATAAACGACAGTCCTTCCATTTATAAAATTATTTACTGTAAATTTGTATTCAGTGGCATGTTCCCTTGTGTTTGAAACACAGAATACATCAAAATTATGTGGCTTTAAAGCTTTCCAAGAGTGACCCTAACATAAAAATGAGCAATTCCTGGGTCGGAGGAAGTGGGAGGGGAAGGGAAGAGGAGGAGAGGGCAGAAGGCAGAGGAGGAAATAAATTAAACATCAAGACACTGATAAGAAAGTCACTTTCTGACAGTTTATAGCTGTTCGAGCGTCTTGAGAACGCTTTGCTGGAACCTAGGGACATTTATTGCACGAAGGCAAAATGTACACATTTAAATGTGTCCTACTGGGCCGGGAATTTAGCTCAGCGGCCACAGCACCTGCCTGGAAAGCGCAAGGTCCTGAATTCTATTCTTACTACCAAACAAAGCAAAAACAAAAAAGACCTTGTTCTTAAAAAAAAAAAATCCACTTTATTTTGGGCAATCCATTTGGGGGCCCTGCTCCTAGAAGTTACTGCTATTCCCCAAATCATTTTCCTACTTTTAAAATAAATACAAAATAAACGTGCCCTACCATTTGCACTTCAGTATTGCTTTGTTCTTCGGCTTTTATTTCTCCCTCCTGAATGAAGACAGACCCTCTCTCTGATGGTCTGCCGTCTTCCTGGTCCTCCTGGCCGACTGTTTCTGGGCTCCTTGCCCCCGTCCTGAAGAGCTCCATCCCCGCGGGGGTGCCTGGTACTGTGGATGCTGCGGATGCTGCGGACACTGCAGGCACTGTGGATACTGCGCGTATTGCAGGCACTGTGGGCACTGCGGGTGCTGGCACCGCGTCCCGAGGAGTTACATGATCATAGTGAGTGTGCAGGAGCCGGAGGGCAATGCTGCTTGTTGCTAATACCTTTGGAATTTCAAATCCGATCTGTGTGTGAGAGAATCTCACACTTCTGCACCTGTTGATAATTCATTGTAACGAAATGAATTAGGATGCGCTAGATGTATTTCACATTTATACTTATTATTGTTGTTGTTGTTGTTGTTGTTGTTGTTGTTGTTATTATTATTATTATTATTATTATTATTATTATTATTATTATTATGTGCCAGGGATTGAACTCAGGACCTTGCACTTGCCAGACAGGCGCTTATGCTGCTGAGCCAAATCCCCGGCCCTCACATTCATAATTAAATAATATTTTCTTCCACGTTAATTTCACTCCAGTTCTGAGTCCCAGCCACACCTGTTTTAGGTGCAGTGCTTTGGACCCAGTCGCTGCTTGCTAATCCTTCTCAAAACACTCTTGGAACTGTAACCCTGCACTTCCATCTCAGCGGCTCTTTCTGTCTCCCCACACTGCCTTCCCAACTCCCTTTCATATTGGGGCTCGGGGCTCCCTCCTTCTGCTCTCCCCGCAGTCCCTCTTCAGCCCTGCACACACGCTGCACAGGACCCCGTCTGTGACCTCCACTGCTGCTTAGGTAGTGATATTTAACATGAGCTTTATTTTTCCTGGGGAGGAATAGGAGGGGAGCATACCTGTGTGAATGCACAGGATTACTGATGTTCAGGACAATTTGACTTCCAAAAACTTAGGAAGCTTGGTTCATTACTGATGCCTCCCAAAAATATCCTCCACCTCAGATTTCACCCAGTGCCTTCCACCAGCTGTGTGTCAACTCAGTTAAGTCCAGCGATGAATTTAGAAACCTTACAACCCCTGCCTGACCCATCATCAAAATAAAACCAAACTGGTCCTGCCTCTCCCATGCCAAGATACTCCCTAATTCTCTTCTTAGAGCCCAGAGAGCATACATTAATTTATTTTTAGTTCCTTTAAAATTGTACACATTAGGGCTGGGGATGTAGCTCAGTGGTATAAGCACTTGCTTGGCAAGTGCAGGGTCCTGAGTTCAATTCCTGGTACCAAAAACCAAACAAATAACAAAACTATAGATTAAATTCCTTCACACTTTTATATCTAACATATTTTACAACAAAAGGGGCTTATATAGTCTCTGATGGTACTATGGGATTGCAATAAATGGAATTTGGGGAAATATTTTCTTCCCTCCTTTTACTTAATATAAAAAAATGAAGTTTATATGTATTTTTTTCCTGTGTTAAACTACAGTCTTTTCAAGGCTGGCTCCAGAACTTCAGGCTTCTAACTTTTAGTCTGCTAGTTGTCCTATGAAACTCACTGCCATACTAACTCAATTTGAAATGTTTAAGATCAAGCAACAACCAGGTGATCAGGAATGTTTCATCAGTCGTTCTACAGAAAGCTGTTTCTTTCTTGAAAACAGTTGTGGAAATATCACATAAATCTCGAAGACAATTATACAACATCTATTAACTTTTAAGAGTTCGCAAACATATAATTTTTTTTAAACTCTAGATTGCCATGTAGCCATTTCTACTTCTAGGGAGTAAGAAAAAAGGATTACAGTGGTGAAGAGAATGGGAAGACCTGTTAATTGTAGTAGACACCATGCTGCAACTTTTAATATTTAATTACTATTAATATTTAAATAATATTGAGGATTAATATTTAATTCTCAAGCCATTCCTTTTAAGTCAAATAATACAATCTTTATTTTACAAGTGATAGACTGAAGCTCAGCAAGGCTAAATAATTTGTCAAAAGTAAATGCCAGGTCTGTCATTCAAACTCCTGTCGGCTGATTTTCCAACATGGGTTTTCCATGTATACCACACTGTTACACAATACACATGTGCCTGCCTAAGATGGTGTGACCACATGCCACATCTACAGGGAAATTATCACCCACTGGGTACCTTGGGTTCTTCTTGAGGTTTGCCCACACATACAGCGTAATATTTTCACCTTGAATGATTTTTTCCATATTTCCAGTGTCCAGATCTGCGAAAGAACTAGCTTGCTACAAGAGAGAAAAATAATAAAGGAAAACATTATGAAGAGCCAAAAGCATATAAAATATACTACACAGGGAAGTTATTTCATTACTTATATATTAGATCCCCTTCATTAACTGAAAGAACAACTAGGTAAAAATAAGCTCAAAGTGACAGACTTTTTAGAAAAGTCTCTAAAGGATGCAAATATATATTTACTCAATTAAATGTGCCTCTCTTCTTTCTACTCAGTTTGCCTTAAGGTGTCTAATGATTAAATTTGCTCCTACAGGGCTGGGGAATATAAATCAATGGTACCGCATCTGCTTGATCTCCAGCATGGCTGTATTTGTCTCCTTTCCATTGCTGGAACAAAATGATAGATACAAAAAACTTAAAAGGCCAAAAGGTTTAATATGATTAATAGATTCAGAGATTTCATCCCATGGTCTTCTGGCTTCAAGTGACAGAGGAAAGATACTCAACTCACAGCATCTGTGAGTGGACCAGATATGTGCTTCACTAATCTGCTATGTGACTCTTAAACCAATCAGATTAACAATTAAGATTAGCCAGTGAAACCACCACCACTACCACACAAAAAAGTCACTCCCATGTTCCCAGGTAGAATCTGTGCATTACTGTTGCATTACCCTTTTCAATTGTAATATCAGAATCATAGCTTTGCACTATAGCTATGCACATACTTTTTTCTCTGTACATTAAAATGTAGAGTGTAAGAAGTAGCCTTCCTCAGAATACGCAACTATTTGTTAACTGAGTGAATGTTAATTGTAGTTCATTACTGTTATAATGTGAAATTACTCTTTAACACATTGTCATAGTTTATATTGGTTGGCCCCAAGCCTCATATGTTTGCGTTGTGCATTTGTGATTGGTTCATTGTCTAGCACTTGGATTGATGGTGTCAGGGCTACACCCTCCTAGGGGTGGAGCCAGCATACAATGTACTGGCAGGAAGAAGGCGTGTCTCTCTCTCTTGTCTGTTTCTGCCTTGCTGTTTGTTGCTGCCATGAACTGTGGCCCCGTCATGCCACCCTGCCTTGGAGCCAACTGAGTATGGACTGAAACCTCCCAAAACTGTAAGAAATAAACCTTTCCTTTCCCAACTTTGGGCATCAGGTATTTTGTCTCAGCAATAAATAAAAAGTAACTAAGAAAAAATTTGGTACCGAGAGTGGGGTCGTTTACTATGACCATACCTGACCATGTTTTTCAAGAGGCTTTGGAAATGGCTTGTGGGCAGAGTTTGGAAAGGTTCAGACATGTCACCTGGATGCATAAAGTTGGAGCAGCCTAGGCTGTTCTGTAGAGGAGATTCTGGTTAGAGCTCAGGAGACCAGCAGGCTGATAGAAAGCCTTCATGGTAAAAATCAGGCTTGGGAAGTTTCTGCTGGGAAGGACTGCATTGGTTGTTGGACTCCCCATGATGTGTGTTATGGCTTGGCAGAAAGTTTGTCTCCATTTTGCTCATGCCCAGAGACTTTGCCTGAGACCGAGACTAAGGGCAATGGACTGATTAATCTGGCAAAGGAAATTTCAACGTAGTCAAATGTTGAAGCTGTAGCATGGCTATCGTTGGGAGCTCTTAGCCAGATTTATGTTGCAAATCAAGAAGAAAGAGCCCAGCAGGATAATTTAAAATGCTATGAGTTTGGCCAGAAGGAAAACTCCAATAAAGCTGTGGATTATAAAGATAGAACTGAGAATTTGATTGCTGAGAAGAAACAGAGAAATAAGAAAGATGGCTATGGGGGCATCCCAGGAAGCAGTGAGTCACCACTCTTTGCAACTTCGAAACTTCAAAAGTGAAAAAATTTGCTCAGAGGGGAAAGCTGCAGAGCACCATGCTCCAGAATGGCAACCGAGGCCACACGAGGTTCCAGAATGACAGCAACATAGAGAAGCTTTTCCTCACAATCAGGTAAACAGAGCCCACTGATCCAAGCACTGGAGCCCTACAGTCAAGAGAAAAAAAGCCTGGCTACTGCTTCAGCTGGTAGCAAACCTTGATAGCATCCACATGGTGCTGATTTTAGGTACAAATAAAATGCACAAATTCTGAGGGTAAGACAGCTTCCACCTCAATTGCAAAGGGCCTGGAAGGCCAAGCAGTGTGACCCTGAGAGGGCAATTTGTAAAGATGTAAAGGTAAAGCCAAAAGTGTAATGGAGACCCCAGAAGTTTGAAAAAGCCAGGGAGGTGGATCATCCAAGAAAAGCTGCACAAAGTGAGCAAACAAGGTTTAAGAGAGAAGCTGCTGGAGCTGAAATCCTTGGAAATGCCGTGGGGGTGGAATCATCCAAGCCTTTTGGATCTTGCAAACAGATTGCTTCAAATGCTGAGCATGAAACTTTAGGACTTAATGGTTGCCCTGCTGGATGTTGGACTTGCTTTTTTTCCAATGCTTTATATTCCCCTGTTTGTAACCTTTGGAATGGTAATGTTTATCTTGTGGCTTTGCATTTCAAAACTGTTTAACTTTGTTTCATTTGTACAGAGGGTTACATTTAAGAGTTTGCCTTAGATCTTGGAGGAGACTTGGGACTTAGACTTTTCAGCAATGCTGAAACTATTGGGACTTTGGTTACTCTTAGAAATGGACTAAATATCTTTTATATAAAGGATGTGCATGAGTCCTGGGGGCCAGGGGTGGAATGTCATGGTTTATGTTGGTGGCCTCTAGGCATGTGTTTGCATTTGTGCATTTGTGATTGATTCATTGTCTAGCACTTGGATTGACGGTGTCAGGGCTACACCCTTTTAGGAGTGGAGCCAGCATACAATGTACTGGCAGGAAGAAGGTGTGTCTGTCTCTCTTGCCTGTTTCCACCTTGCTGTTTGTTGCTGCCATAAACTGCCTTGCCTTGGAGCCAACTGAGTATGGACTGAAACCTCCCAAAACTGTAAGAAATAAACCTTTCCTTTCCCAACTTTGGGCACTAGGTATTATGTCTCAGCCATGAGTAAAAAGTAACTAAGACAGCATCTATCTGGAAATGGCTCTTTCCCACCCCATTTTCCTCTTCTTTTTTTTTTTTTTGGAGGATTGCTATAGCTTCATGGATTTTTATTTACTTGACATATTATAGCTCATTATAGTCATTCTTTTCTAACACTCAAATTATTCCAGATTTGGCTGGTGGGACTTCTTTAACCTACCCTGTGTTCCTCTGGCAAGACTCCATTCATCTCAGGTCCCTTGCTGTCTAGCACAGGTTCTGCTCCAGATTTGAATCAATTTATCCCAATTAGTCCTGGGCCCTTTTTATTTTCCTCTACTATGTGGTTCTGGACATCAAATCCAAAGCTTTTCATGCTCGGTAAATACCACTGAGTGACAACCTGGTTCTTTGTTATGCAATACAATCGGGCTCATGCTGATATTTCTATTTTATGTTACAATATATAAATGAAGGTCAGAAAAATATTCTTTCCTTTCTCTTATCTTGAATACTGCTACTCATATTTCTTTACTCTGCCCTACAATACACATAATAGTTGAAAATTTATAATATGAATAATACTGCTAACAATGAGGTTGGTAAAAGATACTTAGTATAAACCTTCTTTGTAGTGCTTTTCAAAATTAGAAAATAATCTACTCAGATGGTAGAAAGGACTGTGTTCTATACCAAAGAATTCAAGACAAAACAGTGAAAAATAGTGTACAATGGTGGATGGAACATAGACTGAATATTAGAACTATATTATTAATTTCCTTAGGCACAATGATTTATAATTATTTGGGTTTTATTAGTGTTGAGCTATCCATTTGCAAAATATAATAACTTTCAAGTAGCACAAGGGAAAAATAAGGATAAGGTAATTAATAAGACATTTAAAATTTGTTGATTTTTATTTATCAATAATAGCTAAAAAATGTAAAAATATATTAAGTCTAGATGGAGAGTATATAGATTTATGGTATATTATTTTAATCTCATGTTCAAATAAAGTCCTCTTCAAATAGAATGTTAGAGAAAAATGGAATACTGAGCTAATTTATTGTAACTCTATATCAAGTTCTTGTGAATTTATTTTCATAGTGAACTTAGTAAATCTTGAAAGATATATAAAAACTATTTGTATTACAAATGTTTTATTCTTTAAAATACTAAAGCTACAGCATGATATTAACCAAAAAGCACCTGTGAGGGTCAGTGGAATAGAATAGAAAATGTAGAAACAACTCCAAGTGCCCTCAGCTACCTTATCTTTGGCAGAGGGGTCAAATACCTTTACTGGAAGCAAGATAGCATCTTTAATAAATGGTTCTGGGGAAAACTGGCTTTCCACATGCTGAACCTAGATCCAAATCTCTCATCATGCACTAAACTAAAATTCAAATGGATCAAAGATCTACATGTTCAGACAATCTGCTAGAAGATAGAATAGATAAACTCTTGAAGATATAGGTGTAGACAGACTTAATGAACAAAACCCTGACCACACAGGAAATGTTACAAAGGATCAACAACTGGGTTGACATCAAATTAAAAAGCTTCTGCACAGCAGAAGAAACCAGCAACAGAGTGAGAAAATTTTTTTCACAGACCAGTGATGTTCCTCAAACCAGGGATGGTGAACAGCAGAACGTTATCATTAAAAGCTCTAAAAAGGCTCACCATCGCTGACTCAGAAGACTAATATCTAGAATATATAAAGAGCTCGAAAGAAAAATTATACTCACTCATTTGGAGACCCAGTCCAAAAATGGGCATCTATATTGAACAGACACTTCTTAGATAAAGTACAAACAGTAAATAAATACATTTTAAAAACATTCAACATTGCTGGCCTCTTGAGAAATGCAAATTAAAACACTCCATCCCACTCCAGAAAGAATAGCTATCATTAAGAGATCAACTAATAACAAACACTGGCAAGGCTATGGGGAAAAAGGAACCGTTCTCCATTGTTGGTGGGAGTGTAAACTGGTAAAACCACTATAGAAAACAGTATGAAGGTGCCTCAAAAACTAAAACAGAGATTCCATTTGACCCAGCTGTTCTTCTAGGTATATCCAAAAAGAGTTAAAGTTACCACACCACAGTGACGCAGGCATATCCATGCATAATTTTACAATGGCTAAATGTTGCAATCAACCAACCCAAATGCCCATCAACAGATGGATGGAGAAAATGTTATAATTACATACAATGCAGTATTACTCTGTCACAAAGGATAACTTGAGACATTTTTAGGCAAACGGATGCATCTTGAGACCATAACTTGAAGTGAAATGAATCAGACACACAAGTTGAAATATCACACTGTTTCTCTTGTATGAGAAACCCAAAGTATAAATAAGAAGAAAAGAGGATCAATATCAATAAATAAGAAGAAAAGAGGATCAAAGAAATAGGAACAACTTATTCAAATGGGAAATGGAAAGGAAGAAGAATTTTTAAAAAGGAATTGCAGAGAATGGAAAGAGGGTTTTTGTAAGTGGGGAAGGAAAGGATTGAAGGGAGCAGAGAAGAATGGGAAAAAAAGAATTATGACATTATGTACAAGTATAAATTCCTCATGGTGAATGTAATTATGTATGGTGAAACATGTACTAATAAGAATGTTAATTAAAAATATTAACAGCTATTAGATCTGCATCAGTACATGTACTTTATTTTACTACTTTTATAACAATATTGGATTATTATGTTATAAACAGTATAACACTTAGTGCTCACAAAAGGAATATAAAAATATCACACATACTCTGAGCAGTATTTCCGTGGCTATGTTAAATTTAAGTTGAAGGAGCTCCTGAAGCTGTAAAATTGATCCTTCATACTCTGTTATGTTTTTCTCTTGCAAGTTATATGATGGAGTTTCCAATAACATTAATTTCAATTTCTCAATTAACTGTAACAAGAATAAACAATATTTATATTAGTCCATTGATCATCAAAAAAGTGAAAAATAGGGTGTTCTATCACTTTTGAATTGAGGAAGAGCTTAGTAAAACATGCAAAAATACTTTTCTATATTTATAATTTAAGATCATCGAAATAAAGTATTCCCTCCAAAGATTCCTTTACAGTATCTTTCTCTCTGTAATAGAGCTATTATTAACAAGTTGATAGATGAGTCACAATTTGTCATTATTTAAGACTACAAAATAACAGGCATGTGTTAGTCCATTTTATGTTGCTACAGCAGAATACCTGAGGCTGGGCATTTTATTAACCAAAGAGGTTTATTTAGCTCACCATTCAGGAGGTTCAGGAACATGGCATCATCATCATCTGCCATGGGGGGAATGTAAGTAAGGGTAGTACATGCAGAAAAGGGATTCGGGGTCCTCACACAGTTGATACGTGGTCCATCTAGGATCTCACGGATCCTAGCCACAGAATTTATTCATGGATTAAATACATCTCAAACCCTGCTGACCACACCAAATCAGGCAACACGTGGAATGAGCTTAACATTTTGGGGCTACAACATCTTAGAGTGACACAGAGACGTTGGCAACAGCAGCCGTGACATGAGGCATAAAACTTTTGTGAGCAGTGGAGCAAAAGCAACAGAGGACAGTAACAGAAACAGGAACAGTGGATTCCTCCTGGTAGCTTTACCAAGAATGTGTGTTGAGATGTGGGCTTCTATGGTAGTGATCCTAACCTGTGACATAAGGAACGTATCTGGCTTCTGCCCCTGATTCCAGGACAGACATTCTAAAAATCCTTGGAATTTTCTGAGTGGCAGGCATGAGATAAACTCTTTATTTCTCCAAATAAACTGTTTTGAATCATGCTGGAGTTAAGACTCATGTGGCCACTATTAGAGAATGGAGGCTGGAAACAAGGTAATTACAGGGCTGGAAAATTTCAGGCCTATTCCTTACCCGTGAGGAAGGGGAAAGAGGCTAGAGATCAGTGTAGCAGTGATCCATAACTTAATCAGTTATGCCTAATAATGAGACCTCCATGGAACCCCTGAACGGTGGAGCTGGGGAGCTTTGGGCCTGGCGAACACATTGAGCCATTGAGAGGAAGGCATATAAAGAGAGGGCACGGCACCCCCACAGCTCTGCCCGCATACCTTGCCCTGTGCATTTCTTCATCTATCCTTTCATATCATGCTTAATATTCTTCATAATTACGTAAGTAGACATACGTAAACATTTGCCTATGTTTTATGAACCATTACAGCAAGTTACCTCGTCTGAGGAAGAAGCTGCAGGAAGACTAACTGGTTGCTTGAAGTATAGGTAATAGCAATGAGGCACAGACTCGTGAGTCTAAGTCCCTCTGTGCTGTGAGATCTGTGCTAACTCTGGGTCACTTCAGAACTGGCCTACAGGTCACCTAGATGGTATCCTACCTGGAGCTGTGGAAAAACCCTAAATTTTTGTTGTCAGAAGTGCTGTAAGAATAGTAATAATCATGATGATGGTTTCTTAGAATTTGAGGATTCATAGCTTTCAGTTCCGAAAAGTTTTTCTGCCATTGACTCTTTAAATATTATCTCTACTGTTTATATTTTCATCTAGTAGTCTTCTGTGTACTTCTAATCCTTCTTAGTCTATCATGTGTGTCTGTTACCCACTCTTTCATATTTTCTACCTCTTTGTCTCCATACTATGTTCTGGTAAATTATACCAATTCAACTTTGCATTCGTCTGTGGTCAATTTGTTTCCACTTTACTAAAATGAAGATGTTAGCAGCACAATCTGTGATAGCTAGATCTTGGAAACAACCTAAATGCCCATAAACTGAGGAATGGATACAAAAGATGTGGTATTTTTATATAATGGAGTACTGCTCTGTTATAAATAATGACCACATTGAGATATTTATAAGTAAATGGATGCAATTTGAGACCATCCTCAGAAGTGAAATAAATCAAACTCACATGTATGAATATTGTCTAGTCTCCGTAGTATAAGAAATGGTAAGAGTACATAAGAGTTTACGGTAATCATGGTTCCCTATTATATTGCTTTGAAGACTTATAATGTTTTCATTCACTGGATGGGATGGTTTTATTCTGTTTTATTCTGATTTTATCATGTGATGATATGAACAGCTACTTTGAAGAAAATAAGACATTATGGCAGCCATTGCTGAGTTAATATCCTCATACTTTGAAGTTCCACTATGCTTTTGTTCTTCTGTTTCCATTGTTCTATCATGTAGTGTCTTATTGGATTTTAATATGTGTGATAGTATAAACAAATTTTTTATGGAAGATGAGATATTATAAGTAGCCATTGTTCATTTTCTGTTATTTGGATTTGAATATCCTATAATACTTTCCATACTCTTGAATGGTTTTATACTATTTTGTTGTGTCTGATACTACTGTATGTGAAGGTATATTCAACTATTTCAAAGAAAGAGACATGGTAGCTACTGTTAATATCCAGTTGTCTTATTGTGAAGTGCTGTGTTGCTTACACTGTTCTGACTTGCTTTGTTATATCCTCTTTTATTTTATTCTCTTTAAAATAAAATTTAAAAAAATAAATAAAATGAGGATGAACCAAACACATTTTTTTGGCTTCAGTTACACAGAGAAATAAATATTTCATAAGGCAGCAAGAGATTAACTGTTGGAAAACAAAAAACAAAACAGATTTCCAAGTCTCTCTCTCTCTAGTGAAGCATTCAGAAGCAGTAAGTAGTGTTATGAATTGACAATATATTTAATTTTTGCTTTTCGGATATAAGGCTCTTTGTGATTTAGCTTATGTTACCAGGCACACTTGCATGCTTACCTGGAGCACAAGTTTACTCTTCTTCATCACTGACTCAAAGGTCTCGTTTGTTTCTTCTTTCCACAAGCTAATGAAAGTATTCATCTCTTGGGGTGTGGAAGGGTCAGGACTCCCGTCACACTGAATATAGTGTTTCCACTGTGGAATAAAAGGACGAGGCTTCGCACTGATGGTCCTTTTCAAAATCTGCATTCTCAGAACTCAGTTTTCCCAATTTAGACAAAAAAATTATGACATAAGCCAATAACTTAATATAAGCCAAATAATAACAGACTTTTCCCCCATAAGTTATTTCCAATCTTCAAGCTTCAAACAAATAAAAGCTCACATTTTTGTTTCTATAAGATGTGAGTTAGTTTTTGCTTTTCCTGTGAAATCATACAGCTTATCTTCAAAGCCAACATTTGAACTAATATTTATTTTTAAAATCATTACTATTTGCTTGCACCAGTCTTAATAGGACTCCTTCTGTTGTTTTGTAGTTGATGATTACACTTGTAATGACCCATTCACTCTTTACTTAGAATCATTATATACTGAAATCTGCCACATTATAATCAAGTTATATTTACCAATCCAGTATGAAAGAAGGGCACCCTTTAGCTCCATATGCTAAGAATCATATATGGTACTATACTAATGAGTAAATAAGTTGCTTGAAGATAATTCTGCCTTTAATAATTGTAAAATCTGTCTCAGATAAAGGATGGAACTGAAGATACTTAGATATGGCTTGACAAAAGTATGTTACATGCCCAAAAATACACTCATAAAAATAAATGCAAGCCTTTAATACAGGAGAAAAATCATGTCCAGTGGTTCAGACTGCCTAAAAGAATAATGGGACAATATGAATGGGTTTTATTTCTGTTAAATTTATGGTGTATAAAGTTATGAAATATAATGTAATAAAAGTGTCTACATGAGTTACATTTCTATTGTGTTCCAGAGTTTAAGACTTAGCTTTTTCTTAGTCATGATATTTGTTAAAAATGTTAGACATACAATTAGAATTCCAAGACTTGAAATAGCTTGACCATGAAGCTAACTTTGTCCCAGCACATTCAAGTCTTAAATGGGAAAAAAATAAAACATAAAAGGACGAAGTAATTAAAAATGATGTGGTATGTGAATCAACTATTATAACTTTATATAGCATTCAGTTAGAAAGGTCATCTCACAGGTTTCGGTCTGATATGTCCCTCCAATCAGCTATCAGTGTCGGTAATTACATAACATTTTCTTCAAAGGAAATAGTATAGTTACTTGTTATGCAAAGCAGCTTGTATATTTAATATTGAGGAAGTGTTCTGAAGTTTAATGTCTGAGAAAATGACTTTTTAATTAGCTAATTAGAATTTTCATTCAAGAATTAAATATTGTACTGCACTGATGCAATATAGTCATGAAATGACCCTGCAACTAAAAAGTTAGTTAGAAGTCAAACTAGCACATGATTTGGGAGAAATTCATCAAAAATACTAAATATTCCAAACTCTTGATGGAAGTAAGATCGCAAATCATTGAGAACAAAGCCTTTCATTTAACAAAATGACAAAACAAAGGCAAACACAGAAAACCACCAGCCATAGAAAAAAACATCAGCTGTTCAGTTGGGAAGACTCAATTCCCAAGTAATCAAAAGATGTAACAAAAGTCTATGTTCTATCAAGAACAGAGCAGTTCTCCAAGAAAAATCTGTTGCTTTAACACAGAGAACAAAATTCAAGTTTTGCATACTTTAGATACTAATGTACAATTCTTAAAATAACAAACAATTACATTTTAGTTTTACCTAGTTTAACAAAATTCTCATCCCCCACTTCTTTTTGGCACAGTATTAGGGATAAAACCCAGGAATTTCACATTAGGCCACATTCCCGACCTTTTTTTATATTTTTAAGGCAGGGTTTCAGTTTCACCAAGTCACCATGTTGGCCAGGCTAGGCTTGAACTTGCAATCCTCCTACTCCAGCTCCCAAAATACTGGAATTACAGGCATGTTGCACCATGTCCAGCTCGTACAAGTCATCCTTCACAAATTTATGCATTAAAAAACATCTAATACCCTATCCAGTGAGGGGCATTCGGTAATAAACAGCTGACCGAGGCAGGCATGCCATAGTTTTGCCATCATTGTCTTTTACCTTCATTCATCCAAAACGTTTTCCTTACATAAAGTAGTATTCTTTAGGTTAGAATAGGTTGAGGCTTAACTCTTAGTAGCTTTAATTTCTAGTAAAAACTTAAGAAAGCAAGCAATTTTGAACCATTTTAGACCAGCATTTTGTTGATAAGTACAATTTTTAGAAACATGTTATCCCATAATGCTTTTCATTTCTATCTTTTCTATACCATATACACACACAAGATGTTCCACTAGCAGAACTATCAGACTGAGACCAGCACTATTTTTAGTACTAAAGTCAACAAAAGGTATCCAGCACAAGCAGTTCAATGCATCTGCCCAGTTGCAAATACTAGTGAGTGGCAATCATCTTTTTCTTCAGCATACTTGACATGGTTACTAATTTTTCTATTTCTGAGTGTATTCATCTATTTTTCTTATGACACTCAATGAGAAAACTACATCTACCTTATTTGCCCTTACACCCCTGGCCCTTCTCAAAATCTTATATATACATGGTCAAATATTTGGTAAATGAATGCACTGATTATTAATCTCAGCCAACGTTTTCATTACTCAATGGTTTCCAATTAGACAAGACACATTCTGCATTTGTCAATAAAAATAATGAACATCTGTTTTCAGAATAACTTCTAGTACCCTATTGAGGCAGGAAATTAGGGCAAGGCCAACTAACTGAGCAAATGAATGTGACCTGTCAATCTCAGAGTTCCAGGACATCTGTGTGGAACACAGTTATTAAGCCTTGTAACTGGGACCAATCAGAAAGCATTATCTTCAATTCAACCAGGTCTTTGATAGGGTGGCCTATAGCTGACATCAGTCTAAAGGATGAAGGATGCTTTTAACATCATGGCCACTAGGAGCTTTTTCAGTGGCCTGCTTTCATTCTACAAAGCATACTTCTTTCTTAACCTCTAATATGCATAAAACCTTGCTACTATTTTTGCACACCCCATACAATTCTTTGTTAAGGACACCAAGGAGTTGGGAAGAGTCTAAAAGAACCCCAGAATCTGGAAACATCACCCCAAACTTAAAGATAACTGGAAAGAGCCAAACATGGTGGTACATGCTTGTAATTCCAGCACTCAAGAAGCTGAGGCAGGAGGATTGCTGCAAGTTTGAGGCCAGTCCGGATCACAATAGCAAGGTTGTCTCAAAAGAAAAAGAAAAGAAAAAGTAACTGGGAAGTCTCCCACTGGTCAAATCATATTTGTATTCAGACTATTCTCTAATACATAATAATGTAACAGTTGAAAAGCAAGTTTCAGTGACTTGGACTTGGATACATCTACCACTTAATCTGCAGCATGATTCCAAGACAAGCTGCTGAGGTGATTTCTGGAACTGCGACAAGTTCATCCCCAAAATTTCATGCCACTTTTATATTCACCTGATTTATTTGTTTGCAATTATGCAGCAAATGCTACCGGCTTTGGAGGTACTGGAATCTCCTGGGCCCTAGATCTTCTCTGTCCTGAGCAAAGAACTGGTCAAGACAAGTGCAAGCAGTAGCAAAGTTTTATTAAAGGTAGAAAAAGTGACAGGTTTTTTATGTTGAGTTTGGCCCAAGTAGCAAAATAAGCACACCCTGCGGTGTGAGGACAGGCCACCACGTGAAAACAAACATAGTGACAGAAACTCGGTGTGTTCTGTTCCTTTTGTACCCCAGGCCTTGGACTGACTTTGGCCAGCCTTTCAGAAACTGGCTCAAGTTCTCCAGAGAAGTCCACCTGCAGAGGTCTGAGAACCGCTGTGCACGTGTGTCCTGGGATTCTGTAATTAACAGCTCACGCCTACTTCTCGGCCAGTTTTGCCATGCCCTGATCTCCTGTCTCACAAACACCACCCCAAAATGTGTCCCTGTAGTGAAGGACTCCCTCCAACAGGACCTCCAGAGGAACTCGGCTGTTGTCAATCCCTCCCAAAATTAGCTCTTATCAAGAAGAGGGCATTTCAACATATGCACACAGGCCTTGTTACAATCCATCTTCTCCGCTAAGGCCCACTCAACGGAAAAAAATGGGAATCTTCACAACTCAGCCTTTGTTCTTTTAAATAAGTTACTGAATTCCGTATGGCACCCACAAACCTAGGGGCACCCCAAACACCTTCCACTGCGGATGGGGGCAGTTTATCATTCTAAGCTTGAGTGTTTTAATCAAGGCTTAAATAGTTTAAAAAGCACAGCCCACTGGCCCAATAGCTCAATGATCACACCCCTTGCATTTAGTCTGGTACTAGGTAAAACAGCTTTCTATAAGTTCTTTTTAAATCTTCTCTTCTATATACTTTGCCTACAACCAAGCAATACAATCTGAGTTAAAACTTTCTCATTGTGAATATTGTAATCCAAATTTCTGAGTAAGGTTCACCCATTTCTCTAGAAATAAATACAATTTCTGGGGATTCTTAGTCATGTAATTGGCTAGGGCTCCAAACAGACGAATCCTATACCAGTCTTATTTCTGACTGGCCCAAGCAGCCACCGTAAACCCCAAACAGCTTTTATCCCCTTCTCACAGCATTAACCAGCCCTTAGTACTGAGGTAGGGTAGAATTAAAATCTAGGCCAAAATATAACAAGGCAAAAGTAATTTTAGAAATGAGCTGGGTCTAAAGGTGCACACCTGCAATCTCAGCACTGGGAGGCTGAGGCAGGAGGATTGCGGTGAGCTCAAGGTCAGCCTGAAGAACATACGCTCTGTGTCAAAAAGACAAAACCAGAATGAAAACTGCAGGTTCAAAACACAAGGCCTTAGGCTGGGGATGTGGCTCAGTGGCAGATTCTCTGCATGCACACAGGACTATGGGTTGGATCCCTAGCAGCACACACACAGATATACACACTGGTAAGAGTCCAGTTTATTTTTTCCTCTCTTCTCCCAGAACACAATAAGCCTGTGTAATTCCATTTCTCCTACAAATGGTTCAACCACTCCCTTTTTACATGCAAACAGTTCTCTTCCACCTGTAAATACACCACCTTTTCCCCTAAAGATAATCTTACTGCAGGTGGACCATCCTCCTCCTCCACCCACCACACCAAGACCCCAGATTTCCACCACAGATCATTCTTTTATGTGTAAGTAGCCTGAAATCTTCCCCACCTTCTATGCCAAAACCAAAACTATAGATTACCAAAAGCCAGAAATTTCTGACACCAGTTCCAAACTGTAGCAATAGTGTATTTTCACATGGAAGAAACTCAACCAACTTTATCATCGGATAATCTTAGAAAATAATATACTTTATGTAACAGCTTTTCAGTATTTAAGAGTATCTGCCTTAAATTTTCTGCTGATCCTACTAATGAATTAAGACCCAAAAGAGTGTATATTTAAAAAAATAAAACTGTAGCACACTCTTCTAGCTTACCTAGGCCTGCACTCCATTTCCCTGTGTACTAAAATGTCTGCCTAGGGGCTGGGGATTTAGCTCAGCGGCATAAGCGCCTGCCTTGTAAGCAGGCAGTTGTGAGTTCAATCCCTGGTACCAATAAAAAGGAAAAAGACAAAAAAAGATGTCTCCCTAATAAACCCACCCCAACCCTCTTATTGATGCACCCTGAAAATATCCCTTTTTTGATTCGTGCTGGTATTGTTTGGACAACCGAATGAGTGTCCTGTGCTCTGGATGAATGATTTGGGGGTGGCAGTGTGCAATGTATGTGCCATTGTTGCCCCCTGATTGACGCGTTTTGAAATTTTTTTTAGTTTCTTTTTCTTCTTGAAATAAAATGGATTTGGAGAAAGAAATTAAATACCATATGATATTTCTCATTTGAGAAAGGTAAAGTAAAAATAAATAGCACATTCAAAGACTGAAAAAAAATTTCCTTTGATGGGAGCATCACCCAAAGACTCCGAGATTCTGCAGGTCTAAGGGCTGGCAGGTGAGACCTTTTCCTTTTGAGCCTGGCAGTCCCAGAGGGCTGTAAACAGCCACAGTTCTTTCCCGGTATTACAGGGGACCGCCAGGAGGCAGTGCACCTGAGCTGGGTCCCCTGCCTCCTCCACAGCCTGGCCCACTCTGCAGCCATGTTAAGCTTTGTTTTTCTCTCCAGTGAACCTACCATCCTGCCATGCAGAGAGCTCAGCTCTTTGGGAACCTCCTGGCACAGGATAGGGAGAACCTATACCTGGTTGCGGAATGCTTCCAGGGTCAGTGAGGGAAGAAGCTTTGCCTCAGATCCAAATGACTGTGCCAAAGGGACAGTTCCCTTTGACATATTCTCAGTTAGGTCTAGCAGGATTTATTCCAGCAAAGGACAAAACAGTCCACAAATCTCATTGTTTCCAAGCTCAGAGAATGTTCCAAGAACTCAAGCCAATAACATATAGACAAATACCTATAAGCAAACAAAGGCCAGCTGTGGGGAGCATGCCTGCAGTCCCAGCGCATGGGAGGCTGAGGTAGGAGGGTCCCCAAAAGTTTGAGGCCAGCCTGGATTACATAGTAAGTTCGAGATTAGCCCTAACTACTTAGCAAGACCTTGTCTCAGAACAAACAAAAAAAACCAGATCATAGAAAACAATTTCATTGGTTCAGCAATCAGTCACTTAGTTAATTGGCCACAGGTTCCTCTAAAACCAACCAGTGTTCATTTTCTATGATAAAACTATTGGTTTGGTCTATAGCTATTAGTGCTCAGTCCAAATCCAGGGCTTCCCAAGAATTTTATTTTACACCCTTTTATATTATAAAGACAAAGCTCAGGAACTAGCCTCTGCCAACTTAAAATTTTTCTTCTGTGGCCTCACCTCTCTCAGCCTCCACAGAGAATTGAAGAGAGTTACAGACTTGCTCTGGGTTAGGCTCTGGCTTAAGGAACTGGTGTGGCTAGTTTGGTCTTTTATTCTAATCACTAACATCTCTACATGTCAGCACTAGGGTTGATGTGCGTTCTTTCACTGGTTTGTTTCTAATTGGCTTCAAAAACTTTTCCTTCACGCTGATTAGGTGCACACCTATAATCCCAGCATTTGGGAGTACCGATGTAGGTTTGAAACCAGCCTGGTACTATATAATGAAACACTGTCTCAAAAAACCAAAATCCAAAACAAAAACACACACAAAACCAACCAACCAGCCAAACAAAAAAACAGGAAAAACTTTTCCTTCATATTCTTAACTTGGTGGTTTGGACAGCTCTCAGCCTTTATCAGCACTTGACAAGTCCTTCCTGTCTTAGGTACTTTCTCACTGCTAAGACAAAATACCTGACACCCACAAGTTAAAGGAAGAAAGTTTGATTTCAGCTCACAAGTTTGTAGCAGTGTCAGTCCACGTTCAGCTAGCTCCAAGGCAGGGCAGTGGGGCAGCATGGCGGAAGGGCATGACCAAAAGGAAGCAGCAGGCCTCTTCCCCCTCCGCTCCCCTCCCTCCTCCCCCCTGCCTTCCCTCCTTTCCCCCTCCCCTCTCCCTCCCTCTCCCTTCCCCCTCCCCTCCCCTCCGCCTTCCCTCCCCCTCCCCCCTCCCTCCCCCCTCCGCCTTCCCTCCCTCTCTCTCCCCTCCCTCTCTCTCCCCTCCCCCTCCCCCTTTTTCTTTCTCCTCTTCTTTTCCCCCTTTTTAAATTCCATTCAGCCTACAAGCCCATTGGTTGGTGCCACCCACATCCAGGGTGGGCCTTTCCATCAACCCTACCCAGAATCAACCTAAACCAATCAGTGGGCTAATCTAGTTATCACACACCTTTAATCCATAGCCACACGTTCCAGATCTGGCCACCTCTGAAAAGCTTCCCTTCTGACTGTATGAGGCTTTGGGATGACACCAGCATAACACTCACTAAGCGCCATCATTTCTAGCTGTTGATTTGAAGAGAGGGACCTACTGCCCTCTTTCACTCCAGCTCTCAGACACCTTTATATGGTTCTTACCTGGCCTCATTTCAGTACTGCTGTGTGGCAGGGAATAAGGAGGCCCGGGGGGGTAGGAGGGGCTTTGGAGGTGGGCTGTCAGTATCCAATCACAGAGTTACCTACCGAACAAGCGCACAGTCTCAGATGGGTACAATTTGTTCAGCTCCAAATGATTAAAATGGTAACAATAAAAATCACTGATCACACATTGCCCTAACAGATACAATGAACGAGAATGAAACAGTTTTAAGTATTTTGAGAATTATCGTACACAAAGGGAGTGTATGTGGTTTTAAAAATATGCTGCCCGGAGAATTGTGTGGCACAGGTGTTCACAATCCTTCAGTTTGTGAAAAATGCAGGCGCTGTAAGATGGGATCACCTGATAAACAATGAAACAAGCTGTGCCTGTGTAGGGTTCCAACAACTCAAAGTCAAAGGATATAAATATTTGGAGTATATTATGGCTGACAGGTACATTTGTGCAACATTGTATCAGTTTACTTTGCAATAGGTACTACATTGTCAGGTGAGATGGATAAATTTAGTTTCTTAGGATCGAAATGGGTCTCAGGCTACAACGTCCTCTTCACAGAAAGATTAGCTCAAGAAAAAGAAATCAGACTTACCTGAGAAAGTGATCTAATATCTTGCTTCAATCTCTCTGCTTCAGGAAAACATTCCTCTAATGAATAAAGTTCCTGGAGTTCCTCAGGTCTCCTTTGTAGATCCTGTTTCACAGGGACACACAGATTGACCTGTTCTTCATCTCAGCTTTATGTGCCACGGGCAGCAGCAAAAATTTATGTGGCTAAATATACAACTTCACAATGAATACTTGGTTTGCATACAATGGTTATTTCCAAGACATTTCATCTGGAACAGTGGTTTCTAAAGTGTGATCTTTGGACTTTCCGTGAGTCCCCTAAACTCACTCCTTTGCGATCTGTGAAGATGAATCTATTTTCATTATAATTTGTCAGTTTCACAGTCCAAATTTTACACTAATTGCACAAGATGATGGAAACTTTTTGTGCCTTAGCACAGTTGAGGCAGTGCCTCTCACCTGTACTGGTTTGGAGGCTGGGACAGTGAGGGGAGGAGCCAGATTCAGTAACAGTGACCCGAGGAAGAGGTAAAAATTATAACATTATGAATACTTAACACTAAGTACTGTACACATCCTTTCACTCTGCAGTGTATAACAATAGCAAGTATACATACAACGTGTCTGCATAGCAAAGGACACCACTGTCTTGAGAAGAGGCACATTTGTGGACAATTTTGGCCAATGTCCTTTCAAAACCAAATGAATTGGCCATGCCACTTTAAGAATTCAAAATATTTGTTTCAAATAGTAAAATTCAACTTTCAAGTAAAAATTCAGATTAAAAAAATTTGTATGTAGCACTGTGTGTTTGATTGGTTCTCAATTCTTTTTTTTTTGTTTGTTTTTTTGAGACAGGGTCTCACAGTGCAGTCCAGTCTGGGCTTTGTAGTTCCCTTTGTAGCCCAGGCTACAACAACTTGGAAAGCCCATGTTAACCCGATTTTATTTTCATGCATGACTTTGCAGCTGCATACATTGCTTGCTTGGGAAAATTTTATTCACTGAATTACTTAACCTCTAACCATTGATGCGTTTTTATTATGCAATATCCAAAAAATCACAGCCATTAACTTATCCAATCAAACTAGCAGTTTTTAAGAATTGAGAAACCAGGGCTGGGGGTTTAGCTCAGTGGCATAAGCACCTGCCTTGCAAGCAGGCTGAATTCAATCCCCGGTACTGATAAAAGGAAGACAAAAAAAAAAAAAAAAAAAAAAATTGAGAAACCAGGCAGGAGGATTGTGGCAAGTTTGAGACCAGCCTGGGCTACACAGTGAGACCCACCGTGGTAAGCACAGGCTGCACGGCAAGGCTGCTTCGAGCTCAGTCCTGCCTCTGCCACTCCTCAGCTGCTGACTTTCTCTGTGCCTCAGTGTCCTTATCTGTGAGATGCAGGTAATAATGTTACTCATTGTACTCCATCTGGCCAGTGCACAGAGGACTAAATGCCACTGGTAGTTATGAGAACAGTGGACAGCAGGCAGCTGATTGCAGGGTTTTCTTAAGTTTTCCTCAATTAGAGTACTAAGGTTTATTTACTTTTTTTTCAAGCTGTTGCCATTTTCGCTTCTGAAGCCGCTGTTCTTCAAGCCTTTGGATTTCTTCCTTCTCCAATTTCACACGGGCCTCCTCTAAAGAACCAAAGAGAGGGGAAGGGGAAGCAAAAATGATTAAGGCGCTCTCTCTCTGCCTTCATGCACATATTTATGACAAAATCAAAAAAGTGCTGGCTTTTGTTCCTTCAAAAGGATAACATGATTCTCACACTTTCTGGCCAACGAATGAGTTCACAATGATATATCTCTTCTCCAAAAGTTTGTACCAACCCAATAATAATGAACTTAGTCCATAGATAAAATATGACAGCTCTATCATGGGGAGTTAAGGAGAGATGAAGTCTTCAGAAGATGTCAGTAACTGTGTGGCATCTATGTCATCAGAAGAAATCATCTTAACTTTTTCTTGTTCTACTAAAAAATATAAAATACGTGTTGATGAATATGTTTATGCCAATGTAATAAATCATTCCCCAAAATACAGGTCCTGAGATTGTATCCTTACCATGAGTTACCTAAAAAAGGATTTATAAGATTATACACTAAAAAATAGAAATAGAACCTGAGTCCTTTAAAAACCTGAATATTAATCTAAATATGATGTTCTAAAGGCTAACAGCTACCACCTTAGGGATGGTCAGAATTTTTTAAAAATCACATTTTAGTGTTTTAATTAACCAACCATTCATCAATGTTTAATTTTTAAGTAAATGAAATTGACTTTTTTTTTGAGATAGGGTCTCTTTATGTGATCCAGGCTGGCCTTGAACTCATTATTTAGCCCAGGTAATCATGGTGATCCTCCTGCTTCAGGCTTCCAAATGCTAGGATGATAGGCATGTGCCACCACACCAGTAAAATCGACATTTTAATTAGGCAAAAACACATTGTGATTGCAAGAACTTAGACTGTTATCCATATTTCTTTTTTTTTTTTATCATTTTCTTTTTTATCAGTACTGGGGATTGAACTCACGACCACACACTTGCAAGGCAGGCACTTATGCTGCTAAGCTAAATCCCCAGCCTCTATGTTACCCATATTTCTTGCTAGAGTATATTTTCCATTTTGAATGAATTCCAGACTTCACCATCAGCCCCAATGTCCCTAATTTCATCAGTACATATAAATACTTTGAGATAGGGTTGCCAGAACTAGCAAAGCAAAATCAAGATGATCAGCTCAAGTTGAATTTCAGGTAAACAATGTACTTTTCAAAAAGTATAAGTATATCCCAAATACTGCTGGAGAAAATTATCTGAAACTAGCCAATGTTGCTCTGAAATTCAAATTCAGCTGGACTCCCTTGTTTTATTTGGCAATAGAACTTCAAGAGCCAGGGAGTGTGGTCGATGTATACAAATGGATCCTTCTCAGTGCCCATTAACTGGTAGGCAACTCATTATAAAGTAAAATTAGAACCATCAATGAATTTTGAAAAAAATTGACTGGATTACAGAAATACCAATCTATTGTTAGTAATACTTGTATGTGAAAATAGAACCCCTGTTTGTTTTGTACCTTCCTCTTTCAGCCGTTTATTTTCCTCTTCTTGTAGCTGCTTCAGTAGTTCGGCTTTAGTAGCTTTCTTTGGCTTATTGTCAGACTTAACAAAGACCACAAAATTAAAAAGGCTATTAGCATGCACCCAAGTTACTGAAAACCACATTTCCTTAAGTAGTAATTATGAGAAATACTTTTGCTCATGAAACGTATTTTTGTGCATTGATTCAACATATTACAATATTAGTGCAAGGTCTTGGCTCTGTGCATTGCACAACTGAGACTGGAAACAAACTAAAATAAGCACATAAATTATGCAAACCTGGGATGGCCGTTGGTATTGGTTTAGATCTAAAATGTCCCCCAGAAGTCTCATGTGCTTGGAGGGTGACCGGACTAGGGTGTGCTGTGCACAGATGAATTCCTAGCTGAGTGTGTGGTTGGGAGGTTGGGGCTGGTTGGAGGTGGTCACCAAGAGGCCACCCTGGCTCCTCCCTTGTTACCTTGCTTCTAGGTTTCTCTGACCTGAGCAGCTCGCCCCCAGCAGGCCTTTCCACCTTGTGGTTCTAGTTTGGGGGAAGCTATGCACTGAAACCATGGGCCGAAATAAACCTCTCCTCCTCTAGGCTGGGGGTGTTGGGCATTTTGTCTGGGCAATGAAAAAGTAACTAAGACAACAATGATAAGCACAGAAAATTTAAATCATTCTTCAATGCTCAACTTCCACATCTTTATTTATTTTTTTGGTACTGGGGATCGAACACACAAACCTCTTGCTTGCCAGGCAGGCAATTATGCCGCTGAGCTAAATCCCCGGCCTTCCACATTTTTAAAAAGAAAATCTCATCCTGTTATTGTAAGGAATAAAGTAAAATGTACATTAAAACACTTTGAAAACTGTATGTCTATTTAAAAAAAGTATTTTTATGACTGGTAGGTATAGTTATTTTGCTAGGATGGAAGAAGAATTGTTTTTAATAACAGAGGTCAAGAAAAATGTTTGTAGAGAAAGTGGTATTTAATATCGTGCTCAAAGGATTTTCACACTCACAGGAACATACACCAAGAAAAGAGAAACGCAGCTCAAGATACAGAGTTGGAAAATCAGTGAATACGCCAACCAGTTCCGTGGGCTCTGGTAGGACTCCAGGAAGAGCAGAAGGAAACGACCATAGATAGAAGGATCAAGTCTGCCTGAAAAGTCTGGGCATTGTTCTAACAGAAATGAAGAATCCCAAAGTGTTTGGAGAAGGGTTGTAGCTACTAAGAATATGAGTTTTGAAAACTAACCTTTTATGTGAGAAATAAAAAAGGATATCATTTTGGCACCTATGTGCACAATAGTTAATGAATGGTCATGGAAATCAGAAATTTATAAGCTAAACTTTCAATAATTAAAGTCAGAGGAAGGAATCAGAGGGGACTCTGGAGAGAAACAGTGGAACCCTAGAGCAAGCTCATTTAAAAAGGAATAGAGAGAAATTCACATATAATTTGTAGGAAATGCTGGTGCATAATTTGTATCGCTCAATTCAAACTTCTTGTCAAGTAATTTTAAGGTGGCCATGGTTTTAACGCCAGATTTCGTTTTATTACTATAAAACCATCTTTTGGCGAAAATTGACTTTTCCCTTTATGTATGTTCTTTATTAAGCATTTATGTTACCACTGGCTCATCATCCTTCTCCTCACGGCCTCTCAGACTCCTTGGCGGGCTTCTCCTGCTCATAGCTAATTTATAACTTAAAAATTTTAATATTTGTTCACATACTCCCTAGGTACTTCACATTTTTAACTTGGCACTGAAAACTTTTTGCCACAAGCTTAAAGAGCTGAAAATACACTTTCAAGTATAGGATCGATAAATGGAAATTTTCCATCACTATTAATTAAATCCATCACCACTTAAAATAAGTCCTATGAAAACTATATGCCATAGCAATTTAATGAACAATACCACCAATTTTAGAAGTATGATGAGCTCTTTTTTAATAAAAAATTTAATTCTTTTTGCCTTTGAAATCATATTTCCATTCTACTTTCCTCACAGAATATAACACTAATATAATATACTTGAAAAACTTGTGTTGAGTTTCCATTCACGTTTATTTGCTACAAAAATATGTGTGACAGTTTAAAATATTTATTTCCCTTTTAGCAAAGTATTTTAATTTTCCTCTGGACTGACTTAATTTTATATAATTTTCAATACACAACTGAACAAAGCAATATAATGTAGTATAAATTATTGTATTATAATAAACATAAAAGTAAATGTTTCCCTGATACACATCTCTTGATGAAATTAGTTGGGCTTTTTCTTTTCTGTGGTTAGCTGCTCATTATCCATATATAAGATTTACTTGTTAGTAAGTGAAACAGATTCAGATTGATTGTTTTAGCTTTTAAAAGTATGAGGAATGAGAAATCTGCTTTATATTAGAAGTCAACAGGAGTAGGTTAATGCAATACAATTCAGGTTTTCTTTTTAAACTCCTTTCCACATCATGTATTGCATTATCATAAATTACCCAAGTCTGGGAGAGCCACTGAGTGCTTGGCATTTGGTCCCCGGAGCCTGAGGACAGGATTGCATGAGAGGTTCCAGCCCTGGTAAAGCCGCCCATGTGACTAGAGGAGCCCAGTGTGTACCCCCAGGGCCTAAGGACTGAAGATTCCCAGCTAATAGCTGAACACCTGCAAATGACACCACCAAGGACTTGGACACACTGACTACTGGTGTTGTTATATCTGAAGGACTCACAGGGGACCATACTTGTGTGTCCACCTAGTACCAAGCCCAAGACACCCTACTTAAATAATACCTTGGGACCCACCTACAGAAACATGTTTTTCTCTGCACTAACTAGGCCACAAAATCAGAAGAGATGAGCCTTCTACCCAGATGTGCAGGTATCAATGGAAAACGTAAAAAAAAGCAAGGAAATATATCTCTAAACTTACCCAATAACCTTCTAGTAATAGATCCTAACTAAAATCAAATCTATGAAAAAAATGAGAAAACAAAAAAAGAAACAAAAAGAACAAAATTACATCTATGAAATGTCCAAAAGAGAGTTGATCTTAAAGAAACTTGGCAAGAGACAATAAACTATAAGATAGACAATTTAATATCAGGAAGGTAAGTTATGATCTGAATGAAAATTCAGCAGAGACATAGATGTCAGAAAAATAACCAAACAGGTATTTTGGAGCTGACATTCTTTGAGTAAAGCAAAACCACAGTTGAGAGACAAACAGTTCATAATTTAACTTTTACAACTGGGCAAATGATCTGAAAATTTATTTTTCAAATGAAGAAATACATGTGGCCAACAAACATACAAAAATATTCCACAGCATTAATCTCAGAGAAACCAAAATGAGGTATCATCAGGGTAGGATGGCTATGATTTAAGACAGAAGTACCAAATGCTGATGAGGATGTGGAGAAAGGCAGATCCGTACACTGCTGGTGGCTGTGCCAGTTAACTGTGGGGTTTTTTTTGTTTGTTTGTTTGTTTTTTTGGTACAGGGAATCAAACTCAGGACCTTGCCCTTGCCAGGCAAGTTCTATACTTACTACAGAACTTACTGACCTACTATATCTCTGATTTTAACTGTTAATTTGACTGGATTGACTCCTTGGGAAGTGACTGGATCAGTGGGTGAATTCATTCCTGTTCATCACTGACTGAGCTGTCGGGAGGTGAGACCCAGCTGGAGGATGTGGATCCCCGAAGATGTCCCTTTGGAAGGATATCTCTTGTGGGCACTCCTCCCTCTGCTCCACTTCCTGGTTGCCGTGGGTTGAGCATTTTTCTTCTGCTATGTCCCTTACCATTCCATTTCTGCCTTGGGTGCCCATGGACTGAACCCTCTGACACTATGAGCCAAAAAAACCTTCCCTCCTTTAAATAATACTTTTTAGTTGTTCAACAATGGAAATACTAATTATTTAGTATTGGGGATGCTATTAGTGCAGCCTCTCTGAAAAATAATATGGAGACTTCTCAACAAACTAAATAATGATAATAATAGTAATAACTATCACATAATCCAGCAATCTGACTAAGTATTCAAACAAAAGAAATCATTTTGTCAAGGGATATCTGCAGTCCCATGTTTATTGTACTACTATTCATAATAGCTATGATACAAAATCAACCTACTGTCTGCCCATGGATGAATAGATTTATCTATATACATGCAGTAGAATATTATTCAGTTATAAGAAATGAAATATTGTCTTTTGCAACAATATGGATGAGCCCTGAAGATATAACATTGACTTGAACTAGCCAAGCACAGAAGGACAAACACTGCATGAGCTCATTTATGAAGTTAAAGAAGTTAAAGAAGTTGATGGTGCATTGTATGAAGCAGAATATGGTTGCTAGAGGCTGGTAAGTATAGGCAGGAGAGAGAAGGATAGATTTGTATGTCTGGGTATGATGGTGCATGTCTGTGATCCCAGCATTTGCAAGGCTGAGACAGAAGGCTTACCAAGAGTTCTAGGTCAGTTGGGGCTACACAGTGAGTTCAAGGCCAGCCTGCACTACATAGTGAGACTCTATCTCAAAAAAAAAAAAAAAAAAAAAAAAAAAGATTGTGGTTGGCTAATAGGTAGGAAATTACAATTAGAATGGAGAAATAAGTTCTAGTGTTCTATAGCACAGCAGGATAATTATAGCTTATAATATTATATATTTCAAGAAAAAAGGACCTTATATGTTTCCAATACAAATGAATAATAATTTTTGAGGTAATTCATGTGCTAGTTATCGTGTGATCATTACACCTTGTATCCATTTCTCAAAATATCACATTGTACTGTGTGGATACATGCAATTATGTATCAATTTAAATATTGTGCCTAAAAACAATTATGATGATTTTGTTTGCTTGATAGTTGTCTTAGGAGGAGCCTTAAATAATATAGTTTATTGTTACATTTTACACAGATTTTGCAAGGTGTGACAGCACAATACTGTAATTCCAGCACTCTGGGAGGCTGAGGCAGGCAACCTCGGGACCAGCCAAGGCAATTTAGTGACTTAGTGAGACCCTGTTTCAAAATTTAAAAATTAAAAAGGGCTGGGA